ATGCACTGGATCAACGACTGCGAGCACGTCAGCAACAACCACAGAACCTCCGACAGTTGGCTTAAGCACTGCAGGCAGAGTGGGTGAACATTCTCCAGGCCATAATTCGGGATCTGAGAGCTTCCATGGGACGACGATGCCAGGCAGGTTTGGACTCAAATGGTTACCATACAAGATGAGAAGAGATGAGCTTCACTTTGAAAATCTACTGTTCCAAGTGTGCCATACGGAACCTTGGTCAGTGAGAATGATGTGCGCCAATTCTGAACAATCGATTACCTTCTGTTGATTATTTATATGATATATAAAATATACATCTAAAGTCACTTTTTCTTCAGCTGTATGTCTATATTTGTGTGACTTCAACTGTGTACATATAAGTGTGTGACTTCAACTGTGTACATAAATGTGTGACTTCAACTGTGTACATATAAGTGTGTGACTTCAACTGTGTACATAAATGTATGTGACTTCAACTGTGTACATATATGTGTGTGACTTCAACTGTGTACAAATATGTGTGACTTCAACTGTGTACATAAATGAATATGACTTCAACTGTGTACATATATACGTGTGTGACTTCAACTGTGTACATATATGTGTGTGACTTCAACTGTGTACATATATGTGTGTGACTTCAACTGTGTACATAAATGTATGTGACTTCAACTGTGTACACATGTGTGTGACTTCAACTGTGTACATATTTACGTGTGTGACTTCAACTGTGTACATATTTACGTGTGTGACTTCAACTGTGTACATATATGTGTGTGACTTCAACTGTGTACACATGTGTGTGACTTCAACTGTGTACATATTTACGTGTGACTTCAACTGTGTACATATATGTGTGTGACTTCAACTGTGTACATAAATGTTTGTGACTTCAACTGTGTACATATATGTGTGTGACTTCAACTGTGTACATATGTGTGTGACTTCAACTGTGTACATAAATGTATGTGGCTTCAACTGTGTACACATGTGAGTGACTTCAACTGTGTACATATTTACGTGTGTGACTTCAACTGTGTACATATTTACGTGTGTGACTTCAACTGTGTACATATATGTGTGTGACTTCAACTGTGTACATATACGTGTGTGACTTCAACTGTGTACACATGTGTGTGACTTCAACTGTGTACATATTTACGTGTGTGAATTCAACTGTGTACATATTTACGTGTGTGACTTCAACTGTGTACATATACGTGTGTGACTTTAACTGTGTACATATATGTGTTACTTCAACTGTGTACATATTTACGTGTGTGACTTCAACTGTGTACATAAATGTATGTGACTTCAACTGTGTACATATATGTGTGTGACTTCAACTGTGTATGTACATATATGTGTGTGATTTGAACAGTGTACATATTTACGTGTGTGACTTCGACTGTGTACATATATGTGTGTGATTTGAACAGTGTACATATTTACGTGTGTGACTTCAACTGTGTACATATTTAAGTGTGTGACTTCAACTGTGTACATATTTACGTGTGTGACTTCAACTGTGTACATATACGTGTGTGACTTCAACTGTGTACACATGTGTGTGACTTCAACTGTGTACATATTTACGTGTGTGACTTCAACTGTGTACATATTTACGTGTGTGACTTCAACTGTGTACATATATGTGTGTGACTTCAACTGTATACATATACGTGTGTGACTTCAACTGTGTACATATATGTGTTACATCAACTGTGTACATATTTACGTGTGTGACTTCAACTGTGTACATAAATGTATGTGACTTCAGCTGTGTACATATATGTGTGAGACTTCAACTGTGTATATACATATATGTGTGTGATTTGAACAGTGTACATATTTACTTGTGTGACTTCGACTGTGTACATATATGTGTGTGACTTCAACTGTGTACATATTTACGTGTGTGACTTCAACTGTGTACATATACGTGTGTGACTTTAACTGTGTACATATACGTGTGTGACTTCAACTGTGTACACATGTGTGTGACTTCAACTGTGTACATATTTACGTGTGCGACTTCAACTGTGTACATAAATGTGTGTGACTTCAACTGTGTACATATACGTGTGTGACTTTAACTGTGTACATATATGTGTTACTTCAACTGTGTACATATTTACGTGTGTGACTTCAACTGTGTACATATACGTGTGTGACTTTAACTGTGTACATATACGTGTGTGACTTCAACTGTGTACACATGTGTGTGACTTCAACTGTGTACATATTTACGTGTGCGACTTCAACTGTGTACATAAATGTGTGCGACTTCAACTGTGTACATAAATGTGTGTGACTTCAACTGTGTACATATATGTGTGCGACTTCAACTGTGTACATATTTACGTGTGTGATTTCAACTGTGTACATATTTACGTGTGTGTCTTCAACTGTGTACACATATGAGTGTGACTTCAACTGTGTACATATTTAAGTGTTTTAGCGTCGCCTGGCATGCGTCCACATACCAACGGAGCGTGGTGTGGAATGTGTCCTGTATTCTTCTGGTACATTTATTTAACAAGGTCAGAGTGTCTTAAATCTATCAATGATTGTTTGACGTTGTCTCTGTCGTGAATATTGACAAATTAAGCTATTTATGGAAGCTTTCTTGAAATTATTTATGACATGTTTATAAGTTGAAGTTGACATAAATTCATCAACAAGACTAGTGTTACACTTCTCGTCTCGTCAGTTCAGCATGTATCGTGAACTTTTCACATTTTATCTTGACAGCATTGACCGATTTGAATGATTAGGGAACTTGGCCTTCGTTATCATAACTAGAGATAACGTTTGCTTACATCCATCAATTTGTCACATTTGATTGAATTCCATCAACAATTGTCAATTTCATCGTGCGGAATCATGTATTAGCGAAAAAAAGTAAATATGTTTCATATAAAGTGGTTTAAATATTATGCTATTGAAAATATAGACATACTATTTGGTCATTCGTCTGATCAATGTTTATAACACATTTATTGACAATAAACCATACCTGGTAACAGGAGACAGAGCGACACGCCTTAAAGGAGGGGTGGTGTAACAACTCAGTTAACAATGTCAATATCGGGTGTGACCACCATTTCCGTGGATACAGGCGAGTATCCCGAGACGACTCGGAGTAGAATAGGTCTTCAGTAATCCATGCTTGTCGTGAGAAGCGAATAACGGGATTGGGTGGCCAGGATCGCTGACTTGGTTGACGCATTTCATCGTATGTCAATCACTGGATTGTTTGGACCTGACTCGATTAATTACAGACCGCCGTCAAACAGCTGGAATAATGCTGAGAACAACAAACTAACAATGATACAGGCGAGGCATTGATGACACAAGATGATTGAAAACAGCCTGGTTGGATGCTGTTCCAAATATCAAACAAACTGAGCTAGCATCACCAGCTGCTTCTGGTCCTGTCGTACGCGTCATAGTTCATCTCATCCAAGACATGTTCTATAGGGAACAGGTCTGGAGAAACAGCTTGCCATTGCAGTACAGCAATGTTATGCTGCCTCAAAAAGTATGTTAGAACACGTACAACGTGTGGGCGGGCATTTCCTGCTGCAACGTCCCTGTTTGTGCAGAAAGGGTAGAATATGATAAAGAACGATGTCCCGGTAGCGTACATCATTCAAATTGCAATTTACAATGATGAGTTGTGTTCTGCCATGAGTTGGGATGCCACCATTTACCATTACACCTCCATCCCCAAACTAAGGCTAAAAAGTTCCCCTGGACGCCCGTAGACCCTTGCCCGACTATCCTAGCTGTACAGATGAAACTGGGCTCATCTGTGAACAGTATACTGTCCCAGTCTTGTTTTCTGAACGTCAAATGCTGTCTTCACCAAGCTAGGCGTGCCTGGCGGTGACATGGAAACAAAATTGGGTGAACCGCTGGAAGACGGGCCCGGGTGTTGTGATCCCCCAGCCGCTTGCGTACAGTTCTACCACATAGGAATATGCCAAGCCGTTTGTCAATGGCAGTTTGGTATCGATTCTGTAGATGCACCAACCGAATATGGTTGTCCTTTTGACTTGAAGTCACGCGTGGAGGACCGGCCCGTGGCAAATCATGAGCGGTGCCCTGCTATAGATAACGTCTCCACGGTGATATTGTGTTTCGATAAACATTAAAATGTCTGGCAGCTTCGTTTGTGCCATTCCTGTTTGCAGCATACTCACGCAGTAGACGTTGGTTTTCAGCAAGCTGTGGCATTGCGTAATCGTATTTACGGTTGAACAAAAGTGTTTATGAGCACCTACACACTCATCATGTACTGTTCACATTAGAAAGAAAACACATTAGTGAGTATCCCGATACAGACGCATTAACATTAAAGTTTATCCTGTCTATTTGTCTTCCTGTTTATTGGCTTCATCGTCACGTGTTCTCTGTCCATCACATTGTTACAGCATTATCCTCCTTTTGGTCCAACTTAACCTACTCATGTTAATCTCTCTCATGTATGAAATTGTTGCTACTGTTAATCCTCCATCTACCATATATATTATATACCATGTTCATTTTTCAGCCTTGATGGACAACGGTATAAGGACATATACAGAAACGTCGCAGTTACAGTAATAAATTGCTATCCATAAAATTGTCTCTTCTTTGACCTTAAAGTCAAGGAGGTTGTCTCCATAAATACGCATTGAAAGATGCATTTTATGCCTAAATTCAGAATATTTTTTTAAAAACTTTATTTGAATCACACTTTTTCCCGTTAGTATATATTGCAGGGATCGACCCACTCGTAATATAGACCGACATGGATGCTATTCATATCTGTCCTTGTTTTAGCAAGGGATAACCTAGGAAGAAACCATACAACTGATTTCATGCACAATGCTATATATTTAAGCTCAGAATACGTACTGTTAGGGAACGACCATTTGATATTTCAGGGGGGTCTGTAAGTTTGTATGGAGATTGTGTATTATTTCAGCTACATCTGCAAAACCAGATAAGTCTTTAACACAAAACTATGGGCTTGCATATGTTTTTGTTATAATCATCTTGCAACAATGGTTTTTCTTGTGGCAGACAATTACTTTGAAGCATAATTGTTTTTTCCAGCATTATCTAGGAGAAAATAAAAGGACTCACAGACACAGATTATTTTATATATCTACCCAGGACTTAGGACTATTGTGACCTCAGGGTTTTCCTGTCATGTAATGCCACGTATCACGAATTAATGTAACGAATCACCATGCATTTAAGAAGACCGCCTCCGTGGTCTAGTGGTAGAACGTCTGCCCGAAGAGCCGAAGGTCTGTGATCCGATCCTATGACCGCATCATACCAACAGACCTTAAAAGATAGCACGTATTGCTACCCTGCCTAGCTGAACTGAACCGAACTTTATTACACTCAGGTCGCTATCAGCGGCATAAGAGGTACAGCATTGATACATACATACAAATTTACAATATATATCAACAGATTTACCAAGCAGTGGTTTCAGTAAATAAAGATACAGGACAGGGTTCAGACATTTTGATAGCAGCATTATTATTTGCTGCCCTTGACCGAGCACAGGTCGTTGGAGCCCAGCTGAATGATGAGGGCTCTGGGGCTGCGCCGTGTCGCCTTGACCTGTGCATCTAGAATGGTGTCCAGCTCCTTCCACCTCATCCCCCCTCGTGCCAGCCATAGCATCCTCGGTTGGTTCGGACTGGTGCCCTTCAGGAGCAAGTACTGCCGTGCCCTGGCCATGTAGCTGGATCCCACCATCCAAACTGTAAACAATAAGAAGTGTAGTAAGTACCATGAAAGACTATTTGAATTAATTGTGCAACATTGAATTTGTTGGTAAGCGTATGTAAGCATTGTAGCAATCTGATTTCCACCTGCCGTATTGTTGTATGAGGTGTTCCGGTGAGACATTGAAAATGGACCCGCGTTGAAAAGTGACCCGGGAGTCAGTATTCAACGTTGAAAACATACCCGGTCTCAATTTTCAACAGACCAGGGTCAATTTTCAACAGTTGAAAAGTGACCCTGTCAGCTTACCAAGTCGTTAAATAGTGACCCGAGCCTCGCGTTGAAAAGTGACTCCGTTGAATTATGACTTCTAGTGTAAATAAAAAGATCTAATGTTATAATCGATGAAATCTTTGTTAGTGTTTTTATCTTGGTGTTTCTGACTGCGTATCTGTAAGCTTGCATCAGTTGTTTTACGTACATGTATGTTTTTTTGAGTGCGGTAGAGAGAAGGGTTGGGGCGTTTCATGTTTTATTAAAACGGGAATACTCTCGATATTCAAGATTGACTGGACATAACTATAGATCTATACAACCAAAAATCGCCGATACAGCTTCTCGCGGGTCCATTTTCAATGTCACACCGGCACCCCGTTCATGGCTGCTGATGTGGCTGCCCCAATGCGGAAGGAGTGCGAAAAATAGCAAGCCGTGTTTATGTTGCTGTGTGCTAAGGCCTAAGGCCTTTTTTAGGAGTGCCTGGAATTGGTACCTTGTAACGGGGGAATGGTCGAAATGAACGAATGCATGTTGTGGGCCGGAGGGGCACGCCTCCAGGTAGTGCTTGATGGCGACTACCGGACATAGCGGATTACCTGGTATAAATGACATTGTAACTGTTGTCCCCATCCTGTACTGATCAGACTTTGCGTGTGGTAGATTGAAAGCTGCTGGGGGTTGCCCGAGAAGCTTAAATTCTGGATGGCGCAACCTGTTTTTGAGGGTCCAGTTTGGACCAGCTCGCTAACCCTAAAGAAACCTAAGAAGGCTGTGCAGTAGACTGCCTTGAACAGCCTGGCTTCATATGCTGATGAGCATACGTGAGGCAGATTGTTGGTTACTACCTGCAGCAGATCTGCAGTGATCGGTTTTCTGGTGTTTGGTCGGCCCGCTGATTTGTGTAAGCCTGTTAAAATCTTGCCCACCAGGGTTTGTACAGTCGGTGAGCCCGTGGAATTTGTGCTGTGAAGACAGCGCTGCAATGTAAGTCTTGACTGTGTTAGGGGAGTGGTGAGTGACTGACAGATAAGCAATAAAGTTTACAACCTGATCCAGCGGGACTGGCCACACCTCTTGTAGCTGGTGTGTGGACCGGAACTGGTGCAAGGCATTGATGCCTGTTTGGTAAGTGGCCCATGCCTTTGTAGACAGAGATTGTTGTAGGAGTCTGCCGGCTTCCTGCCTCAGATCAGCCATATGTTGCACGGGATAGGTGTGGGGTTCTGGTCCGCGGCTGGTGCTGCCTCTCGGAAGCGTTTGAGCTGAAACCTCGAGAGGGCATCGGCAATAGTTTTAGGAGTGGAACATACATACTTTGCCTTAAACATAATATTATATCGGAGGCACTGCAGGATTAGGCGACGGATTAGGCTCATCACTCTGGGGGCCTTGGTAGACTGTTTGTTGATTATTGCTACGACGGCTTGGTTGTTGCAGTAAAAGAGGACCTTTTTATTTGCGAGTTGCTTGCCCCAAAGTTGGATGGCCAGTGTGATGGGGAACAGCTCCAGGAGCGTCAAGTCCCGTGTAGTTCCATCCGTCACCCACTGGGTTGACCATGCGCCGTTAAACCATTTGCCCTGCATGTAGGCCCCAAAGCCGGCACCACCCGCTGCGTCTGAAAACAGCTGGAGGAAATCGCTGTCTACCCATAGTTGGTCCTGAAACACAGAAATGCCTTTATAACTCATAAGAAATGTTAACCACATTTGTAGGTCTTCCTTGACCCAGCTGGTAATGTGGTGAAAGTTGCTTACCTTTGCTAAGCAGATCGATTAGCCTTCAGCTGAATGCCCTTGCCATTGGTATAGCCCTGCACATAAAGTTAAGCTTGCCTATGAGGGACTGAAGGGCCCTTTTTGTGACCTTGATGTTACCTGTTGACAGAATGTCTTGGATTTCCCTTGTCGCCTTCTTGATCTTGGACTCTGGGATTCTGATCTGCATTGCATTGGTGTCGATTTCCAGCCCTAAGAATGTCAGTTTGGTCGTGGGGCCCACCGTCTTGTCATTCGCAATAGTGACCCCAAGCTGTTCTAGTGTATTCACGCATCCGTTGAGGTTGTCTGAGCAGTGGCTGGTGCCTGCTGTGCCCCCCGTAAGGAAGTCATCCAGGTAATGCATGATCTGACACGTTGGAAGATGTGATTGCATGCACCATTGCAAGAAGGTACTAAATGTTTCAAATATGGCGCAAGGTATGGAGCAGCCAAATGGTAAGCATTTATCGAAATAGAACTCACCTTCGAATCTGATGCCTAGCAGCTCGAAATCGGATGGGTGGACTGGTATAATTCTAAAGGCCGACTGAATGTCGAATTTTGCTAGTAGTGCTCCCTTTCCCAGTTGTTGAACCATATGCGTAGCTTCATCAAATCTGGAGTACACAACGGAGCAGGCCTCTGTGTCTATGAAGTCGTTTATAGATTTACCCCTGGGATAGGATAGATGGTGAATTAGACGGAATTCCTCCACATGCTTACCCAGATGCTGACCATAGCCTGGCTGCTTCTTGGGCACCAGGCCTATTGGGGATACTCGGAGGTTGTCTAGGGGGGTGTCCTTGAAGGGGCCCGCCATCCTGCCAATGTCGACTTCTTTTTGTAGTTTTTGTTTCACGTAGCCTGCCGTGTCTTGGTGCGTGGCTGATCGCAAGTTTCGTGCCAGGCGACCCGTGCGGCTTCCCTGGAACTCGAGCTTAAAACCAAAGCTAAAACCTACCCATAAATAATTTGCATCTCTGTAATTGACCCTAGCATATTGGCGTAACCAGGGTGCCATTTCATTAAGATCCACGGGGGAAGGGGCCATTGAATTTACCTGCCTTGACGGCTGGTTTTCTGTTAGGGAAAGACTGATTGGGCTTGTATGGGGTCGGTTGGACCCCATTCCCTCGAAAGCAGGTCCTAGAGCTGTGGGAATGTTTGCCACACTTACCGCATTTGTGAGTGTACTTACAGTTGACCCTGCTACAGCCAAATTTATTGAAATCCCAGCATACCTGACTGGCTATGTCCCCCTGTACGCGTGTCATTGCGCCCCGTCCGCCTGATTCTGGTTGTCGTACCGGCTGTGTGACCATGTACTTCAGCCACAACTCCCCGTCGATGTTGTCCCAGCGTCGTGAGGGGTCCCTTGACATTCTGTGTCGGAATTGTTGGTCGTAGGTTGACCAGGCATCCCCCCCGAATCGAAGTGCCGCCGTTCTTATGGTTTCCATGTAGGACAGCAACCCCTGGGTTGTGCGGACCTCGGAGTGCCTACTAACATAGATATACATGAAAATGTGGAAAGCTGAAGTCCAGCTTGTCAGGGACAGGCGCTTTGGTTGCTGCTTTATTGGTTTAAAAATTATCTTACCTGAGGAGTCATACGCCATGGTAATCGTACCGTCTTCGTGAATTCCCTCGGTGTTTGGTAGGATTGTGCCGAGGTCGACAAACTCGCCACGCCAGATTTTTTCCCTCACCTGTTGTTTGACGTGTGCGTCTATTCCATCCGCACGGAAGGATAGGGAATCCCCTTATCCTGCGTTCTGATTGGCTGGCCATGCCGCGTCACCGTCGGCCTCGTTGTGAGCATCGGGGATTCTCCCTATGTTGGGCGAAATGGCGGGAGAACTAAAACCAAGCCTTACCTGTTTGCGCTAACCGGGCCGGGCGCTGAATGTTCCAGCAACTGGAGTATTTTTTCCAGTTCCTCGTTTACCTGGGTAGCCGAGTTGGCAGACTGCACGGCATTTACGAGCTGCGCCTATTGCACGTTAATTGTGTTGCCACCTTCGATATTTCCGTAATTGGCAGACTCACCATCAGCTGTTGCCTCCTGCATAATGTGTACTCCCGGGGTTTGTCTTCTGGTTGTCCTGGCCTGCTTGGCTCCCCTCACCAGCTTGTGGTTGACGGCTGATCTTCTCTTGGGAGACATCACGGATGGTCGAGGTGGTGAGTCGGTATTCCACAAGTGTAAAAATAGATGTTATTCAAAGCGTAATCGGCGAAACGGTCGCGACTGGGTACAAAGGAAACGTACAAAGTGAAAGCGATTAGATACAGTGAAACGCGTGTGTATTTGAAGAGGGACTGTGCGCGAATGATGGACTGTAACAAAAGGCGGGATGATGCTTGCGCGGGATTATTCCCCGGGCACGGTGCAGAGTGGTGACCCGGGGGTGATTGAGTTACGAGGGGTGATTGGGTTACGGACGAAATTAGCCAATGGTTTGGATACGCGCGATAAAGTCATTTAGTAGTTAGTACTAAATGTAAATATATATCAACAGATTTACCAAGCAGTGGTTTCAGTAAACAAAGATACAGGACAGGGTTCAGCAGCATTATAATTTTACATAATTTGGATAATTTTCTAATTGTCCCTAGTCTTTTACTATTAAAAAGCAATTTCAATTTGTACATAATTGTTGAAATGTTAAAATAAATTCTAATAAGCTGTTTCGCTCATTTTGAAATAGAGGACAGATAAATGAATAGTGTCAATCATTACCTATATCAAATGATTAACAAAATGGACATTTTCTTTCAGTTAAAGGTATGTTTTTCCATCTTCGGGAAATTGTGATTGTAGGTTCTAAATTTTAATAAGTATCGCCAAATACTTACTTTCATATTTAAATAATTTTCTAAATTCAGGAATTCACATTTTACAGAGGTTATCCATTTGTGTTTGCGTCTTTCACATAGGTAATCATTATGCAATAGCCTGTAAATGAGTAAAGACATTTTTGATGTTTTTTCGGATAAGTGTTTTGCCCAAAAAGAAACCATCCTGATCTCAACAACATTTATTACAAAAGATCGCCCAAGTTCGCTATAGACATATAATTTGGGGTACTTGTCCTATGTGATGTTAAATGTTTTAGAAATCGTAGCTGGACATGTTCTATATCAGATCAAGTGTTGAACCCCCATACGTCACATCCACATAGAGGAATTAGTAAGACCATACACTCGAAAAGGTGCAACTGGAAACCAACGGACAGACTAAATTTATGTCCTTGGGCCAAAACATAATACATTGATTTGGTTGCTTGCTCTAACAGATTTTGTTTTGTAATGGTTAATTTAAAATTCTCCTGCAGGGTGACGCCTAGCTATTTACAGGACTCAACATTTTCCAAAATATGTTGGCAAATTTTAAAAGTATGGATATAATCACGTTTTCGCCCTCGAAAAATCGTTACTTTTGTTTTCGAAACATTTACCGTAAGCCTCCATCTATCAAATACTTAATAAAGGAATCTAACATGGTTTGCAAGTCCTGCATATTTGTAGCCACGAGGACTGCATCATCAGCATACAGTAGCAAAAGGATGGTGATTATATTTTCAATTCTATCATTGAAATCATTTGGTCTTAACTGGACGCCTTCACGCGAGTCGTAGAAAAGGGTTTCTTCAAAATCATTTATAAATATGGAAAACAAAAGGGGAGACATGTTTTCTCCCTCTCTAACACCATTTTACAAGAGAAGAAGCGTATTAAGTTATCATTGCACGAGAGACATGATTTTATATTCTGGTACCCATGTAAATAACCTTGAAGAATTTCCCAGATATGTTATTTTGTAATAGTTTCAGCCAAAGTCCCCAACGTCAGACTGCATAATTTCTTTTTACGAGATTTTAATAATTCTGCAAGGCTGAATAAAGTAAATGTGTGATCGTATGAAGAGTATCCTCTCCTCAAACCTGCATGAGCTTCAGGTAAGATAGAATTGGATTCACTAGCGCCCTGCATTATGGGGATAAAACAAGGACTGCATTGCTCAGAGTCCGTATATCGTATACTGGGGTATTCATGTTCAACTGAGGCATGGTATCTCAGCGGGCTTACATTATAAAACCGGCATAAATCCGGACTGGTACAAATAAACAACCTACCCCTGCATGCATATCGCATGCGATAGGAAGTGGGATATTCTTCAACGCGACGTTAAACCCCATTTCACCACACTTCCTTGTGCATTATAAACTATAAAAGTAATTTCGTCTGGTTCAACAAAAATCCTAGTTAGCGAATTATTGGTATAGAGTACCTCTAGATTTGTTAATTTGAGTCCGGAGTAGGAAGGATTCACGATATATGAAAGGGAAACAACACTCCACATTTGAAAGTACTGAATATGGACAGGCTTCTTCTTCGCCGACTCACAATTTGCTTATAATTGACCATAACGTCGACTGGTTTGGCTTGTGCCCGGCGCTATTCTCGCTGCTCTGTTCTACGTTGTGCGAAGGACACCAATCGGAGGCTCGAACAATTTATGTATTGTAAAGGACTCAACAACAAAGAAATATTCTTATTGAGTCTATTATTCATTTACTAGATGTGACAACTTTTTCTAGTATCTGGAACGATGATGACGATACCTGTCTGTCCTTTTTACTTGCCAGCAGAAAGTACTATGGCAATTAAATACAATATATGGACAAATATAATGCTCCGTGTATGAAAAACTGTTACAACGTGGAAAAAAACTACTAAGAAACATTATTTGATAACTGCCTGTACATACAATATATCAGGTGTTATATATATACATTTGTAGAACACCGTAATATCTCATATCAATGTATCGTCATCAATTGGAGGAAATAAAGATGATCTATCGATCTATCTATCCTATCGGAGGCTCGAACAATGAGAAGCCGTATTATCATAACAAAAAATACACAAGTAAGAGATGCAGACAAACCGACATGTGTTTTTGTTGTTGATTTATGCATAATCGATTTGAGTAAACGAAGAAGTGACAACAAACTTGGTCAATAAGATATGTAAAATTGGAGATTATTTATCACTAGACATGATGATTTACCATTTAAATTGTATTTTCTCTTCTGCTAGGCATTGTTTTTTATGAGAAATAAAGATTACCCTGTGTATTTTCTCGTAAACTAAGCCGGAAATAGGAATCGGCTGTATACACAATTTTTCTACCAATCTAACGGTGATTCGGTTTTGATGCAATGATCGGATGAATTATATCTGAAAATACTATTTTATCAGAAATAATTTAATCCAATATCGAGTTACTTTAGTTGCTGCTTTACTATATATATGTAAAGTATTAATAACCATGGAACAATTTGAACTTGCAACAGTAAATGAATGAAAACAAAATGCAAATATCGTACTTACTACCGACAACAGTTATATGTATAATCTCAGGAAGTTACCTTGTTCGAGGAATGTGTCCGTCAATATCCACATAGAGGAACAATGCCCCATACATCTGCAGTTGTACAAAGAAACTTGTTCAATGTCACGTGTCTTTGTAACAATCTAATATTTTAAACTATACATATAGCATTTTCGGATATTATATCCCTTGTTCTCTCAGCAAGTCGCTCAACTGATCACGTAAGTTTGTTTCAGGTGTTTCACATAGGTGTCAAGTCTCATTGGTCAGTTGAGATAGCACACGTGACAACTATATTCATGATGTCCACGGTGCCTTAAAAAATCCATAGAGTACGATAACAATGAGCAATCAATCATTACGTCATCATACATATATCATTAGGTCATTAGGCGGTATGATTAAACGGCGCCCGCAAGACGACTGAGAGTTGGAGTGTTGTTTCCCTTTAAAAGAAGCAACAATTTGTCGATTTCAGTTAAAGTCTGCACAGTAGTATTGTGTGGGTTAAAGTAGAACGGCTTCCTACATAAACCGCTTCAGTGGTCTAGTGGTAGAGCGTCTGCCCGTCAAGCGGAAGGTTTGGGGTTCGATTTTCGGCCGCATCATGCCAGACAACGTTAAAAGATGGCCAATGTTGTTACCCTGCCTGGCGCTCGGGATTATAAGGGGCTAAAACAAGGACTGTGTCTAAGTGGGGTATTCCTGTTAAACTGCGGTATGGTATATCAGTGGGCTAGTGATATAAAATCGGCATTAGTCCGGACCAGTACAAGCAGCCACACGGACGCACCCACGCATCCACGCACACACACATGTATGCACGTCGCTATAAAAGTGCAATAATCTTGAACGCGACGTTAAACACCATCACACCTCACCACCTTCCTATGGACGTCGTGGCAGAACGCCTTTTGCTGATTGGTCACCTATGATCACATGATATTTTTCTAACGTCTATAAAGGACCTTTTAATATTTTTAAAGAGCGCGAGCATTCGAATTTAGTATCTCCTTTGTCGGTAGGCATCCACTCTTGATATAAATCGATCACTCAACTGTTTCAAACATATTTTAACTATGTAATAAAAGTGCATGTAATACAGAATTTATAATTTCCTTGAACAATAGGGAGTCTACCGAGCCAAATAGCATTTGTAGACGAATGCATTCACTGCAACAAAAGAAGATTTCCAGACATCATTTCAACAACTTGGTGTCCTTTTACCCTCTGGAATAAGAGTGACATACGTCTCAACTTGTCACCATGATAAATGAACCCCTGACTGTAACACCGTGTTACGTCTCCTGGAAGTTTTTGCTAACAACTATCAAGCTGTCAGGAAAATTCGGATTTATATATCTCGCACTCTCACATTAACATTGCTTACCTGTTGAAGAACATTTTAATAAACATACAGCTGTACTACACGATGTGACTATACCAATATTTAATAGGTATACACCTGTATTATTCGTCGTGATGATACCACTGTCTAAAAAGTATACATCTGTATAAGGAATTCTACATTACACATTGTGAGGATAGCACTGTCTAAAAGTATACATTTGTATAAGACATTCTACATTACACATTGTGAGGGTACCACCGTCTTAAAGTATACCTCTGTATAAGACATTCTGCATTACACATTGTAAGGGTACCACCGTCTAAACAGTATACCTCTGTATAAGACATTCTGCATTACACATTGTGAGGATACCACCGTCTAAACAGTATACATCTGTATCAGA